TCCTCATACAGCCAAGTAACAATGAAGTGCTAACCAAATGTTGACCATTTATTTATACATCTACACATAAAAATCTGACCTGTCAAAACGGGTTTTGTAGGACCCATATTTGAGATATTTGTGGGTTACTTGAAAGGCCACTTTTCATATTATGACTCTCAATCAACCCCTAGCAAGATAAAGAAAAAATGGAAAGAACAGTGTGAAACACAATGTATATGAACTTGGTATGCACACCAATATAATTTTTTTTTAAAGAAGGTTTTTGCAAACCCAAATTAGGACTTATGTAAAAAAATTCCAATCATGTTGATCCACTTTAAAAACTCTATTAACAGTACTTTTGTTTTTCTTTTACACATACAACGGGGGGTAGGTTAATAATAAACAGTAGTACCTGAAGGACTTTTGTAAATAGTAAAGTATGTGTTCACAGTTATAAGCAAATAGTATCTGCATTTCCCTGAGAGCATAGTTAAGTTTTGAGTTCAAGGGCTGTGTGTGTGTGTGTGTGTGTGTGTGTGTGTGTGTGTGTGTGTGTGTGTGTTTTGAAGATATTGGAGACCCAAATTAGATCAAAGCTAAGATGAGAATATCAACGAGTATTCGAGTGAGTTTAGCAACTCAGAGGCCCCAAAGCAAAAGGGCCTGGCTTCTGGCCCTGCTCTAACTTCGACCTGGATCCTGAGCGAGTTCACTCCTTATTCTTTATTTCTCAGAATCCCATTCAATTACAGAGAACTCACCTGCTTGTTTGGTGATACAAAAGCTTTACTTTTTTGCACTTAAGTGCTATGAACTACACTGAAATGTGGGTGCTGCATTTACAATCAGATTTATGGCACAGATTCGAAATGCTTTCTCTATAGTACAGGGTTTAAAAACTCACTTACTGTTCTTATCAAAGGACCATTATCAGCTCCATAATAAGAAAAGTTATCTGTTTGAAGAGGAAACTCTGGATACCAAAAGTTTTTGGAATCAAACTGATTTTTCATTTTACTCAAGTGGTTCCTAAAAGTGGGCTTTAAAAAAGAAACAAATATATAAGCAGGGGTCACATTGCTGATGCTAGTGTCCCAAGGAGCCACTCTGAAAGACAGTAAAGACTGGACACAGCTTCACAACTTTATCTACATCTCGTCTTCAGAAAACGTGGAGAAGAGAAAATCTGGAATATTCATTAGTCACCTATTTACTTATTTATTAAGTCTCCAGGTCTTAATTGTTGGTGTCCCCAAGTACTGACAAACTTTAAAGAACTCCATGCATAGTTGCTGCATCGGGTTGGATTAAATTATTTCAGCTGAATGCTGTGATTAGGGTAATAGCCTAATTAATCAATAAATAGCCCATGTGAGTAGAAGTAAGTGATAGCATGTTCTGAATGTCCACACACTTGTTTGTATCTCCCATCTTTCTTTCATACCAGTGACCTGAATAGTTATCCTTGACAGGAAGGCACATGCGGGGGCCTTTCACATGGTGACATGCATTTAGACTTACCCTCAATAATCTATACATATGCAAAAGTTTCACTTGTGGTTTTCCAGGATTTTGGGATTTTTCTCCTTCATCTGCTTTGAATACTAGCTTCTTCAAATCAGACATTTTTTTTCTGTGAAAATTAAATTCACTATCAACTCCAATACCTCTGACTTCACGCTGGCTGAGAAGGCAAACACAATATATCACATCTGACATGAAGTAGAACTCTATAAAGAGAGTTGAAATCATATGATGAAAATATAGCACATTGGGTAATGCAGTTTCTATGTTGTTACTATTGTTGCTTTTTAAATACAGCACATGAAACAGGATCTCCTAACCTGCTGGGGATTAGAATGAATTTCCAGTGAGCTCATATGAAAGCTCTGTATCTTAGAGTGAAGGACAAACTTTGTTCTTTGACTCAAAACTGACCAAACACCAAATATGAGGACCTATAAGGGCCTTACAGTGGGTTAAGGGGCAATTTCTCAGAGGCATGAGCCCAATTCAGTACCTAAAACATAGAAAATATACCATCCAGAAGAGCCTGTCATTCCTACAATGGCCAGCACTATTGAGATGGTTACATTCTAAAAATGGTAATTTGAGTCTATGGAAATCTTTTTCCTACGTTGCATGCAGTTTTTGGACGCTGAGAGGACTATTGCAGAAGATAAAATTCTAACAAGCGGTGACAGGCCTGATATAAAGTGAGGTATCCTCTGATCATTACAAATAGAGACTTTTGATGGGAGAGAATAGGACACATGTCTTTTATTTCTCTCAAAGCAAGCTGGCCTTTCTAGATGCAGCAGTCCTTCAAATGGACGAAGAACCTCTGAGACTCTCTTTGACAAGGAGCCTAAGGCTCCAACATTTCAGACGGCTGAAATACCAAGAGACGAGAAAAAGAAGAAAAGAGAACAAGAACAACTTTCCCCAACCCCGCCCCAAAGAGTGGAACCTTCAGTAAATTTGCTAAAATAAAAAGTGAAACTGATTATTTTCTGCACTGAGATGGGCAACAGTTGTGTACAGGGCATTGACTTTGAAATGAAAATATCTGATTTGAAGTTCTTGGTTTAGCTACCTGTTGTCAAAATGACCTGGGACAAGTCATTTTGCTTTTCTGAAAATCAGATCCCTCGTTTGTAAAACAGGTGCAGTAATAATACCTCGTGACCAGGACATCCAGCTGAGTAAGTCAACTGGTATAACCAAAGCGCCTGGATTAAAATCTGGTGCAGAGTCACTGGACAGTCACTGTGTCCTGGATGCTAAATATCACTCTGTTCTTTCTCTTAGCGAGCTCTAGTGGCATGTCCATAGAGTTGTACTGTTAGCCCAAAGGCCGGGGCTCTCCAGGGATTAAAATCCACAGCACCTTCCCTGGCAATATCCTCCTGTACCATTTATAGCCTCAGAAACCCACTGAAGTGTCTCAGTCTGTTCCGACTGGATAGAAATGAGTTTGAGGGGTTTTTTATTTATTCTGTTTTGGTTTTAGTTCCTGCTTCTCTCCGTGAGGAAGACTAGCCAAATATTCCTGGCTGGTGTCAAGTATCTCTAAGGCCGTGACTTCCCTGGTAAACTGAGGTGAGCCCCTGGTGGTTGTTGTTATGTGCCGTAGAGTTGCCTGTGACTTCATAGCTACTGTATGAACAACATCCCTAAACCCTGCTTTATCCTGTGCCAATCTTACTGTCTCTGACACACCTACCCTCATTACCCCAGTCACTGAGTCAATCCTTCTCATCGAGGGTCTTCCTCTCGTGTGCCCTCCCAAGCGTGACGTCCCTCTCCAAGCATTAAAACCCTCAAAATGCAAGCCAAGCCAGCTGCCTGCAATGGGCCTGGAAGTGACTGAGAGCAGAGGGGGTGGGGGTCCTCTGCCCTCCTCACCCCTCAGACAGACAGGGCTCCGGGCACGATTCTGCGGATGTGGGTGTAGGACTTCCTGATGGTGACGCTGCCATGGTGGGACACCCCCCGGGGCAGGACGCACTCCTCCGTCAGTTTCTGGGCCTCGGGGTCCCAACACAGCACGGTGGCGATGACCTCGTTCTTCTCGTCACGGCCCCCGGTGATGTAGAGCCGGTTGTTGCAGGGTGAGATGCCGCAGCTGGCCCGCTCGTGGCTGAGCTGGGTCACCAGGCACCAGCTGTCCTCCAGGGGGCTGTAGGCGTACAGAGCTCTCATGGCACCCCCTGCAAAGGAACAGAAACATGGTGAGCCTAACTGCATGCTGGCTGTCTTCTGGTGGCTTAGTGGTAAGGAGTTGTGCTGCCACCCTAAAGGCATGTGGTTTGAATCCAACCACAGCTGAAGGAGGAAAGATGGACAATGTACGGCCTCTATAAACATCCTGGAGGGTCAGCTATGAATCAGTTTCAACTCGGAGATACGTTAAAAACAATAGCTCAGGTAGAGTCTGGCCTTCCACTACTGGAAGATAAACAGTAGCTTTGATGGCTCACTAGAAATCTAGAGCAGATGAGTGAGGGTAGAAAGGCTGAGAGAGTTCACCTCAAAAGACTGAAGTCATTGGGTTGGAACTGACTCAAACTGATCCTCCAGAAGGAGCCAGAGGCTGTAAATCACCAGGGAAGAGAGTGTCTGTCTTTCTCCAGAGGAGTAGGCTGGGTTGGAAAATCCAGACTAAAGTGCTACCTTTGAGTTAGCTCCATAGCTTTCTCCAGACGACGCCACCAGTCTCTGAGACCCTTCACCAGGCCCTTTACAATCTACAGCCAGGTGCTAATCGGGACACCTGGTTTAACATAGCTGCCAAAATGGCAAAATGGCCCAAAACATATACCACCAAGACATGTCCGTGAGGACGTACTACCTGATACAGAACTCAGTTCACGGGCCCAGTTCTGACAGTCGTTTACTTTTACCCTGAGTACCGCTGTGCCAGTTATAAGACTTCTACAAAACATATGGAAAAGGGCACTTGGCACACAGAAGCCATCCGGGGACTGGCTTAGAGGAGATGGTGTCTCTTTATACGCTGAGAATGACCCAAGACAGGAAGCCGAATTACCCATGGTGGGATTAGACTTTAGAAGCAGTCATGAGGCAGACCATAACTAATTCACATGACCCAAAGGTAAGGGAGAAATGTGGTTTTTCATTATGTTTTTCAGTGTTTTGCCTCCAGGAAGTGTTCTCTGATTAGTGCACATGCAGTGGGTTTAGTTATTTTCTGGCATCTCCTTTATCCATAGTCCTTAATCTTGGCTGCACATTAAAGTCAACTGGAGCTTTTTAAAAAAAATACAGTTGTACTATTGCCTAGTGTTCTCCTCTCTTAAAAAGCTCTAAACCAGTTCCCTACACATCAATTCTGACTTAAAGAAACCCCATGAGTTTCCGCGTGGAACTTCCCTCCACTGGCTATTTATGACTGCGACCTTTGGGAAATAGATTTTCAGACCTCCTTCCAAAGCATTCCTAGGTGTCTTTGAACTACTAACCCTTTCATTTGAACCACTGACCCAAAAAAAGCAACCCACAGCTGTTGAGTTTATCTCAACTGATAATTAAACTATGGGACAGAGGAAAACTGCCCCATAGAATTTTTGAGGTTGTAAATCTTTATAGGAGGAGATCGCCTTACTGTATTTGAGGAGCAACAGAAAGGTCCACACCCCTGAGCTTTTGGTTAGTAGCCCAATGTTTAACCTGCAACACCACCAGAGTTCCTTCCCATCACTAGAGAACTCCTTAAAGCTCTGTAGGTGATCCTAATGACTTGTCAGAACTGAGAACCCCCATCCTTAACACTTGGCAGCCAGCTGTGGTCTAGCCTGGCCAGTCATTCCTCCAGGCTAAGGTGATGTTTCAGAGACCCTTACCACAGATTGCCACAAACTTCATAAATATAATCATATAAAAAGGTATACTTTCACAAAGCATTAAATGCTACAACAAAACTCACCTCATTGCATAAGAGTCAAGACTCATGAATGATCCTCCAGCATCTTTTCAGGGACTGCAAATCACATGAGAGGAGATTGCCTACCCCTCTTCCAAGGAGAGACTGGTGGGTTTGAATGGGCATAAAAGTACAGCCCTTGAGTTAGCTGCACAATTCCCTACAGATCAGGCCACCAGAGCTTCCTTACGACAAACAAAACACAAAATAAGAGATGATAGCTACCATTTAGCTGGTATTTGTTGGCATGTTAGTTGCATAAATAGTTGCTTGGCTACTAACCCAAAGACTAGAGGTTCAAGTCCAACTCAGAAGAAAGGCCTGGCAATCAACTTGAAACAAATCAACCACTGCAAGCCCTCTGGGGTTCGCTTGTACTCTGACACACTGGGCCTCAGTGAGTCAGCATCAACCCAACAGCAACTTTGTTTGCAGTGTACTCAGCACATTTCAGTTTCTGTACTTTTGCTGATGTTTACAACACAACTCTGTTCCTGCAACAACTTCTGGCTCCTCTGAGCCCCAAATTGGAGATAAGTGTCATATGATTGTGGGAATTGTGTGGGTTCCCGAGAGGGAAGTTGTCTAATGCCTAGCCCCCTGGCAGCCTGGGGTTCAAGTGCATGAAGAAGAAACCGTTCACTCACTCACCAACAACATAAATGCGGTCCCGAAAGCTCACTGCATTTATGCACTTCGCCTCCACTGGCATGGGCGACTTTAAATTCCACTTATTGGTTGCTGGGTCATAGCACTGAGTCTTATCTGTGGCCAGTTTCCCATTAGGCCCACCCCCAATCACATAAAGTTTCTTCTTATGGCTGGTGGCAGCGAAGGAGCTGACATGGACAAGAAGGGGTGCAGCCTGCAGAGATAAGGGACACAAAAAGAAGCTGTCAGTCATGTTGGTCAAAATTGCTAAAGAGACACAATATAGACAAGAAGTCCAGGGACATCAATAGTCTTTGCCTAAAGCTACAAGGCCCCATGGATTTGACGTTCTTGAGCCATAGAGAGAACCAAGCCACACATTCCCCTACCCTCCTTGCAGAATTTAGTCCGGCTAGAGCAGGCTGTGTTGGCATGTTTCCAGCCTGTTTGTCCCAAGATTGGAAAATACAGCAGGAACAAGTGTGTGTTCAGATAAGGTCAGTCAATGCTGGAAAAAAAAAAACTTTCCAAAACCCTAAAATAAATTAAGGTTTTTTTTTAAAAAAATGTTTACCGAGCACCAGTAGGTGCCAGGCATTTTCACTGGTACACACATCCAAGAAGAAAAGTGAGTGTTAGACAAACAGACTCTCACTTTGGAACAATGTGTGCAGACTTTGCAATGGATGGAGGCGGTACTTCTACTCCACAAATTCCAGGGCACTGAAGAGTTCTTTCTTTTCTTTTTTTTTTTTTTGAAGAGTTCTTTCAAGAGCCTCTTGCCCATTTCGTAACTCTCCTGGGTCATTAACTCTATAATGGGACTTGACGATTTGAGAAGATCCCTCATAAAGATGAAGGGATATGGGTGTTGCAAATGCTAACACTTGACTACTAATTGAAAGATGGGTTGTTCGAGGCCAGCTACAGGTGTCTTGGGGAGCTCTGGTGGCCTAGTGGGTGGGAAGTTTCCTTGCCAACCAACCAGTAGTTCTGAGGGAGAAAGATGGGCAGTCTCTCCCATGTGATTTACAGCCTCTAGGTGGCCTAGTGGTAAGGAGCTGCACTGCCAACCCAAAGATGCTTAGTTTGAATCCAACAGCTGTTATAAGAGAAAAATGGATAATCTCCTCTTATGCTAATTATTGTCTCTGAAAACCCTCTGGAGGGACAGCTATGGACTAGTTCTGACTCGATGGGACATAACAAAATCAAAACCTATGAGTGAGTTCCAACTTGACAGCAATAAGTTCTTTGAATTTTGAGAGGCAGCTTCTCTGACAACCGCTTTTTCTAAAACCTCTTTGAGACATAGTTTTCCTCTGACACATGTGGAGTTACCATGAATGGTAATTATCAGCGACTAACGATACATACACACCTATTCCTCACCTACCGACTCCCTCATTATCTGACATTTCACATTAAGGAAAATTATTTAAAGTCCATCCATCTGTCTTGCACATTGATGCCATATGCCTGGCAGTAATGGACATCACAGTGTGAAGTGAGAGTAATGCCGGTTCTGGGTAATAGGGTTAGATGTCAGCTTGGCTGGACCATGATTCTCAGTTATGCAATGAAGAGATCTGGAAGTTATAGAATTAGATCTGGTATTTATTTAATGATGTATTATTAATTTGGTAGTTATGCAATGATGTAGTCATCCTCCCCTTTGTGATCTGATATGCTATCCTTCATGTTCATATAACACTGATTTTCCCATAATGACCTGATCTTTGGAACCCTCCCATGCTGATAAATAAGTAGGTGTATATACCACTTTACAGGTTTTTAGATACCAAGTGGATGCCATGGTAACCTGGGAAATTTTGCTTTTGTCTGGATTGGTCATGGTTTACACTCTTTGCACTGACACATGACTTGATAAGAAGAGTGTTGTTACGTATTGTAGAGTCAGAACTGACTGGAAGCTGACCCTCCAGTGGGTCTTCAGAGGCAGTAAATCACGTGGGAGGAGGTGGCCCATCCATCTCCTGCTGAGCAGCTGGTGGGTTTGAACATTGTTCCTTTGGGTTGGAAATATAATTCTGTACCTCTAAGCCACTAGAGCTCTCTAATAAAAGGAAAGGAACTTGAAATTGGAAATGAGCTGCAAGCACAGGAGATGAAGTTGCTTTACTTTTTCCTGAATATGATGTGTATCTGTGGTGATGTGGTTTAAATCTTACATGCAAGTATATACATGGTTCATTATTAAAGGATCCGTTAAGAAGGGCTGACTTCTAAGCATTATCAAATGATTTGAGTTTAATAAACACTGCAATGAAAGGATCCTTGTGTGGTCAGTAAAGAACAGAGGCATCTGAGAACACAGAGACTCTGGCCTGTGAAATGGAAACCCTGAGAGCTAGGCGGCCACGTGAGCCTCCTCAGAGGTCTGGCCAGGACAGGACATGTGTCTGCACAGAAGAAAGCCATTTCTTCAACCTCATCATTGGTGCTGCGGCTGTGATGCCTACGAAGAGGTGCATCATCACAAGTTCTCAGAGGGAGCAGAGACACCAGAAGACAGCCTCCTCTGTAAGAAAATACCCATTTTTAAGCATTGGATCAGAATCACAGCTTCTCATGGACATTGTCTCTACCTCTGACCAGCAGTTGTGGAAGGGGTCATAGGTCTCCACGTTGTTGAGCCGCTGTAGGCCGTCAAAACCTCCAAGCACGTAGACCTTGCCACCCAACACCACCATCTTATGCCGCCAGCGGCCTATGTTTAAATACTCAATTTGAATCCATTTGTTGATGGAAGAATTATATTTCCAAACTTCGTGCTGTGTTTCTTTGCCACCTGTACAAGAGATAGAAAGAATTGGAGAAACAACCCTTAGATTTGACAGAAATATAGCTTTTCTTATAATTTCTTCCAAGTCCTTGAATGCTTAGTCCCTAGACAGATGCCACAGACTGGACTGGAATTTATGAAGACCCTGGGTTGAAATTCTGCCAGGTCAGTTGCTGAATCTGTGATCAACTGGGCCATTGTGATTCATTGTATTTTTATTGGCTGATTTTCCAAGCATATCATCAGGCCTTCTTCCTAGTCTATCTTGGCTTGAAAGTTCTACCAATGAAAAACAAAGAACTCATGAAACATTATGCTAAATGGATGACCCTGGAGGACATTATGCTGAGTGAACTATCTCAGTCACAAAAGGACAAATACTGCATAGTGTCACTGTTGTAAAAGGAGACTGACATCGGAGTTGAGGGGAACCTAAGAAAAGAGGGGATAAATAATGTATACTGCGTTGAAACAGATGAAGGAGAGATCTGTTTAAAAGGAATATAGGATTAGTTATTATTTTCATGACAAGATTACAGAAAAAGAAATGCATAGTAAAATGGACTGTGGACTTGGGGGATTGTGTAACAATGAGAGACCTTTTTTTCTTTTCAAAGAGAAAAATGAACTGGGGAGGAGAGGTGGGGAGGGAGGAAAATGTGCAACAATGAATGAATGGGGGAAAATTAAATGGAAAGAATATGCTATAAAAATATGCATGTTAAAAAAAAAAAAAGAAGAAGAAAGCTCTACCAAAACTTGTTTGGCACCATAACAGCATACAAACCTCCAATGACAGGTAAATGGTGTCTGTACTTGAGATGCTCTGGGCTGGGAGTCAAACCTGGGCCTCCCTCAGGAAAGTGACAATTCTACCGCTGAGGCAGCAATTCCTCACAGATCCACCAAAGCAAACCCAGGTGGACCAGGGGGAGCAGTGCAAGGCAGAGGAAAATTATGTACCAGAGTGTGGAGAAGGGTGAGTTATGTGCGGTGAGAGGTGGATAAGAGTAAGCGAGGGCCATTATGCTAAGTGAACTAACTCAGTCCCATAAGAACAGATATTGTCTATTATTGTAGAACATGTATGAGGATCCAAAGGGAGAAAGGTGGAGGAGAAGGGTGAGGATGGCAGAGGGCAGGGATGGCTAATCATAGGGTCGCACAATTTGGTGGATGGAGAGAGGTGAGTGAAGCAAATGGGAAAGATCTGGTGTGAAAAACAATGTATACAAACTTTTAAACAAACCAGTATAAAATAAAATAATAATACCAGTAATAAAAGAATGAGCTAGGGCCAAAGGCTTCAGGGAGGTGAGACTCAGGTCAGTCTTGGTGAGTGGGGTGCATGAGAACCTGTACTTAGTATTTGTCCCAAGGAAGAGTAGAAAGTAAGTGGTAAAGGGAGCCTTTGGAGGACAGGGGTAGTAAGACCTGGATCAGCAGGAAAATCAGGAGGTAAGATTAAGTTCATTGTTTGCTTGTTGTTGCTGTTGTTGTTGTTGTGTGTTGTTGAGTCAGAACCATGCCATCGCTGACACTTCCGTGACTTTTCCAGAGGCAGTAAATCCCATGGGAAGAGACTGCTGATCCTTCTCCCACAGTGCAGTTGTTGAATTTGAACCATGTGGTTTGGGGATTGCAGCACAGATTCTTCCCAGTAGGCCGCCAGAGCTCTCTCAGGTCTTCCTTGGTAAGTGGAGGCCACAAAAGCCTGAACTTAGCGTATGTCTCAAGGAAGAATAGAAAGTAAGGCTGAGTGGTAAGGGGGACCCTTTAAGGGCTGTGAATCAGTGGGCAAACTAGGAGGTAATATTAATTTCCATGTTTGCTTAGTTATATTTTAAAAATAGGAAAATGACCAAACAATTGGAAAATTCATCTATGGTCTATAAAAATTATAAGTGAAGCTTGACCTATTTTTAATGGAAAGTATTTTTCCATTAAACAAGTATGAGATGCTCATAAACAAGTAATCTGCAAGTGAACTGGTAGATATTTCCCTCAAGATAACTCTCTTAATAAACAAACAAACAAACAAAAAAAAAAAACACAACCCCAAGTATAATTCACCATGGAGGGAAAGAGACCAAGACAAAAGAGAACTGACTTTTTCTTTTTTTTTCCTTTGGGGGAGTTTATTCACAGTCGGAGAGGGAAGCAGGGAGGGACCCTCTGTGGTCTTAGAGGCCTAGTTCCCAGCAGACACAACACCACGACTGGACAGAGGGCCGAGGGACATCGTGGGGAGCACCAGAGATGGCTGCCCACTCTGTCCTTGGTCCCAGTCTATCTATCCTGGCTGGGTCTCAGGGAGGGGCCTGCCCAAGGGTGGTGGCACTGAGAGCCAATGGAGGTGGCGGAGGGCAGGCTGGGGTGGGCCCAGCAGATGACACAAATGGAGGCAATAAATACTGGCAGCCAGATACCTGGCTCTGGCTAAGCCAGATGGGCCAGGGAAGGCTTTGTCCAAGGGTGACTCTATAGTACAATGGGCAAGCACAAGGGGTGGTCAAGATGAGGCCACCAGCCCTCCTGAGGGACTCAAGTTTTGGCATCTCCGAGCCACAAAGCTGTTCCCACGGCCCTGACAGCCTGAGAACAGCACCCAGCACCTCTGGGCATAGGGGTCACAAACAGGACAGGAACATGCTCATGCAGACACAGGATGAGGTTGGCGAAGGCCCGCACACACGAAGGAGAACTGACTTTTGTGGTGATTTTAATTAAGTATTTTCCCATATCAACACAGAGAACCATTAGCTACTTGATTTAATTTTTTTATTTTGACCCTATGTACAACAGCTCTGAAGCCTGTCCTGTCCTGAGCCAGTCTCACTGACTCCAACACACCAACCCCCACTGCCCTAGTTACCGTATCAATCCATCTCATTGGGGTCTTCCGCTCCTGTGCTGTCCCTCCACCCTTTAGAGTGTGATGTCCTTCTCCAAGGACCAGTCCCTTCTGGCCACGTGCCCAAAGTATGTAAGACAGAGCATCAAAATCCTAGCCTCGAGGAGAATCTTGGTTTCACATTCTCTAAGACAGACCTATTTGTTTTCATGTGGTCCATGGTATGTTCAAGACTCTGTTCCAGCACCACAATTCAAATTGTCTATTATAAAATGTAAATAGCTGATAATGTCACTGAGTTGTACAGTAGAAACTGTTGATTTGGTGTCAGTTTTGTTACTCAACAACAACAAAATAGAGGAAGAGTTTAAAAATGTAAACTATACAATAGTTTAGTAGGCATGTAGAAAAATGAATACTATTATTTATCACAATTGAACTGTAAATCATTAACAAACCTTTTTTGAGAAAAAATTAGCACTATATACCAAAATTCTAAATGCACTTAGCTTATTGACCTGGCAAAATTCCACTTTCAAGAAAATACCCAACTACTAACATAAATATAGAAAGGTAAGAATCCCGTTGCAGCACTTTTTTCAGTAAAGAAAACGAAAGCTGAAAGCAACTGGGAAGATTTAAAAAAAAAATAAATAAAATAAAACGCCCATTTAATAGACTGCCTTACAGCTGGTGAAAAGAGTATTAGCAGTGATAAGGGTGGCTAACCACACTGAGCTCTTCTTGTGTGATTGTTTAAATTCCACTTCGTGCTGTACATGTACTGAATATATATATATATATGATAGATTTTTCCTAACAACATGTAATCATATCAGCATACAAGTTTTGGTTACTGAATTACTTATAATAAGCATATTTTCACTTACTACTTATGTTATTCTAAAAAGGAAACAAATGTAAAAGAAAGAAGGGCAATTTGTAGAATTAAATGTATGGTCTATGTTATAAAGACTATAATTCCCAAACTTGTCTTCCCCGTAGGTGCCCAGACTTGCTTCCTTCCCCAACCCGCCAGTATGATGAGGCATTACCTCCAGGCTGAAATGTTACAAGCAGATGTGCCTTTGCCACCTCCTCACTCTGTCCTCCTAAACACATCAGCCATGAAGGCCACATGTGGATGTATTGCATGATGGAAAGATTCTGAGTGCCTGAATGACTGAGTGGAGCAGATTCATCCACTCATCAATCCCCTACTTCTTTCTTACTGTGCCATCCTATGGCACTGGGATTTAAGAGTTGCTCCAGAAGCTAGCACTTCTTGACCTGAAAAATATGTAAGCCCACAGCAAGTTGTGCTGCTAACCTAAAGGCCATGCATCTCTGGAAGTTCAAATCCACCAGTGGCTCCACTGAAGGATGATGGATAATCTCCTCCCATGAGATTTACAGCCTCGGAAAAGCAATAGAGGGTCAGCTATGAGTAAGAATCAATCTGAAGGTGGTGAGTTTTGAGTCTGTGTCACTTTTATAAGACAAAGCATGTGGAATTGTAGTGGCACAATTAAACTGTCCTATTTTACCTTAAGGGAGCTCTGATGATTTAGTGCCAAGGAGTTGCTCTGACAACCCAAAGGCAGGTGGTTTGAAACCATCTCTTGGGAGAGAGATGGATAATATCCTCCCATGTGACGAAGAGCCTCCGAAAACCTTTAGAGGGTCCTCCATGAGTTGGTTTCAACGCAGTGGTGCATAACAACATTTTACTTTATATTCAAATATTTTAAATTTTGATTTTCCACAATTAAAAAACAATTTGATAAGATAATAGAAAATTATAACCTAATCAATTGAGTTCATAAGGCCAAATAAGAACTGAACTTCCAATGAGAGAAAGGGATGTTTACTTCCTTTCTTAAAGGCCCACAAAGACCCAGGTGACTCTTGATGTAATGGGGAGCATAGGACCTGGGCTTACAGATGGAATCCCGCCTAACACCCACTGAAGGGTGTCATCTTAGGTGAGTTCTGTGACTTCCCCAAGCCTTGTTTTCCTCTCTCCATCTATGACCTTGAGATTTAAAACATCAACTTTTTACAGAATCGAGTAGTTTGTGAAGCATTGAGTTGCTGATGGAAAGAGCCCATTTGAGCCCACTTGCCACACAGTGAGAGAAAGACGGAAAGACTTACAGCCTCAGTGCAGGGTCACCTTGGATCATTACACAGCGCTGCATTTTTTTAGTTGTTTTGGTTTGGTTTGGTTTTTTAAATACATAGGGAGTTGATGTGAAGAGCAAATGATTAAATGTTATTTAAGTACAAATTAATTTACTGAACAGTATGGACGAGAGAGACTACAACAGGCAAAAAATGTTTATGGTATGTTTGCTGTGTGGCATGAGATGTCTGGTGGACTTTCATGGAACTGATGGTCAAATGGAAAAATGAGGCATCACATATGGTAAATAATTAAGCAAACAGTGTTAAAGCTGAGTGGTGGTGCTGGAGAAGAGGATTGAATATACCATGGAGTGCTAAGAAAATGAACAGGTTCATCATGGAGAGGGTTAAACCAGGCTACTCCTTGGAGGCAAGAATTCTGAAGCTTTGTCTGGCCTACTTTGGACACATTGCAAGGAGGGACCAGTCCTTGGAGAGGGACATCATGCTTGGGAAGGTGGAGGGACAGCGCAGGAGGGGAAGATCCTCAATGAGGTGGATTGATCCAGTGACTGCGGTAATTGGGGTGAGTGTGTCAGAAACAGTGTGATTGGCACAGGATAGAGCAGGGTTTAGGGCTATTGTACATAGGGTCGCTATGAGTCACAGGTGACTCAACAGCACATAACAACAACAATGAAAAAGTACTGGGAGCTATTGGAAAACACTAAAATATGATTTAAGAAATTAAGTGGGTGTGGGACATATTTGGGGGGAAGAATAGAAGGTAGTCTTCTTCATTGCTGTGTTCCCAGGGCCTTGCTTAAAGCCTATAGAGGAGATGGAATAAACGCTAATGATATTTTCCTTCTTCTTTTCCATGAAGGATGGAACTTGCATATCTGCTTCCTCAGATCCTAACAAAAAAAGCTACCACAGTTTGCTGTTATTATGTACCATTGAGACAGAACCGACCCATAGCTGGCCCTTCTAGTGGGTTTTCAGAGGCAGTAAATCACACAGGACGGGATTGTTCATCCTTTTCTGGCAGAGCACTTTGTGGATTCAAGCCCAGCTTACTGATTATTACAGCGTGCTCCCTATGTTCTGGGCACTGCCAAGGTAAGACTATTGGCTTCCCTATCCTGACCCAGTACGAGTTTTATCATTGCCATATCATTGTACTTCCTTTAGAAGAATTGCCCCGCTCAGGAAAACACACCATGCTGTCGGAAGCATGATTTTTTTCACCTCATAGTCCTGCTTACCTGATATGTAGACCTCGTTTTTCAATGTCACACATGCAAACTCCACCCACTTCTTGTTCTCACTCTCCAGCTCATGCTCGGTCAGCGGGAGCTTGGCCACCTCCAGACGGCTGCGCCTCAGGGGGTCCAGGCAGGTGACTTCTGCCACAAAGCGTTCATCCTTCGTGCAGCCACCAATGATCATGAACACCTCAGACTGGAACTCGTGCATCCTGGGCTTGGTGCGCTCCGAAATGATCTGGAAATAAATAGAGTGTATGGAGTCAGAGCAAGAGTTCAGACTATGGATCCAGATAGAAGAGGACCTACATTCCAACTCTACCATTGCAAAACTATGTGACTTGAGCCTCAGTTTCATCATCTGTATAATGAGAAGCTTAGTGGTGAAAACCTCAGAGGCTTATTGAGAGGCTTATATGAGATAATATGTTTGCAGATGTTTGTACAAGGCTTAGTACATAACAGTGACTCAGTAAATGTTACCTTTTGTTGTTTTAAGGACTCCAGGTCTCCTTATCATAAAACGGATTTCCTGCTTATCCCCTCTTGTCTGATATGAAGCCTTCGTACCAGGAACTTCATTTATGAGTACCACCCATTCCCCTAAGAAGTCCTGGACTGTGGGCTAAAAAAACACATGGAAGTTTTTGGAGTCTTGACCAAGTGAGTTATCCACCCCACATGTATATTAACCTAAGTGAAAAAAAAAAACCAGAAATTTGGAAGTCAAATATAGCCAGGCTTTGGTCCCGGCTCCAACCACTGATGACTGTGATAGGTAGTCTTAGAGAAGCAAACACAACCTCTGTGAAACACCTCCAGACATTTGGGTCACCAAGCACCCATGAGGTAGGTTAGCGGAGTACCTGGCACATAAGCAGCCCTCCACAAATGAGGCAACCAACAGGAGCAGTAATGGTGATTTAGTAGATGCTCCTACCAGAGCTCCCTTAAATCACATTTAGTAGGTAATTTAAGGCAGCTCTGGTGACTAGTGCTAAGAAGCTGTGCCGTAATCCCAAAGGCACACAGTTCAAATCCACATGCTACTCTGAGGGAGAAAAATGGGCAATCTACTTCTGAAACCAGCTGGAGAGGGAGCTAGGAGTCAGTTCTGATTTAATGACACACAACAGCAGCATGTTGATATTAAGGATCTCTGGTAGGATAGCCCAATCCATGTTAGACTGCTAACCAAGGGGTCAGAGGTTGAAATCCACCAGCCACTTCTGGGAGATGAAAACAGAATTTCCAGGGTCACATGAACTGCAAGCTCCTTGATGACAGAGGGCTTGGGGTTTTGGTTTATTCTGAGATGAAGGGAGCTCTGGTCATGTAGCCCAGAGAGCTGTGCTGCTAACCTAACAGTCACGCTATTCTAATCCACCCATGATTCTGCTGGAGAAGAATGAGCAATCTCTTCCCATGAGATTTATCCACTTGGAAATTCAGTGGAGGGTCAGCTATGAATAAAGTCCAACTTAATGACAATGAGTTTGTGAGTTATTGATATGAGGAGTCCTAGTGGGCCAGTGATAAGTACTTGGCTGCTAATCCAAAGGTTAGCAGTTCAAACCTACCATCTACTCTGCAGGAGGAAGAGGTTGTCAGCTTTGGAAACCCTATGGGGTAGTTCTACTCTGTCCTATACAATTTCTATGAATCAAAATCGACTGGCTAGCAATGAATTATCATTTTGGTTTGGTATATTGTTATTGGAGTCCCTGGGTGGGACGAATGATTAAAACCCTTGGCTACTAACCAAGAAGCTGGCAGTAGTGGTGAGCTGCACTGCCATCCTAAGGGCAAGTGGTTCAAACCCACCACCTCTCCATGGGAGAAAGATGGACAATCTCCTCCCATTTAATTAAACTGCCTCTGAAAACCTACTGGAGTTGGTTCCTACTTGAGAATACACAACAATAACAAGCCATGTAGTATTATTTGGGGAGAAAGGCCTGCCACTCTGCTTCTGAAGGGTCACTCACAGCAGTGAAACCCTGTGGAATACAGCCATACTCCGAAAACTACAAATTGCCAGGAGCCAGTGTCAATTTGACCATAGCTGGTTTTGCTTTTGAATATTGGTATTATTAGCGGAGAGGAAGAGCTGCCTCGTTCTGGGTTCCTTTCTCCTCTGGTGAGAAACTGAGGCCTCTGGTTACCACAGCCATCAGCAAACTGAAGCCTGTCAGGGATCCTTTGAGAGGGTTTAAGGTGGATCCTCCAGCATCACCTGGAGTTTTGGCATGACCTGGCCGGCAGCTTAACTGCAACCTCACCAGATGCCAAGTGCCCAAACCACTCAACCCCACTGCTCCTCAGCTCTTGTGCGTGAGGTAATAAAAGTTTGTTTTCATCCACTACATTTTGCATTAGGTGTTACCTAGCAATTCTAATTAGTGGAACTAGTTAGGGTCTAGAACTGCCAAGTGCTGGCACTGTAAAGAAATTGTAGGTTCGGCATAATGTTAGTCCCAAAGTCGTGACGAGCACCAATCTCAAGTTTGAGATGGACAAGTTTGGTAAGTGGTGTATAGACATGTTTGCAGGAGACTCGGACGCAACAATCAGGCTTGACCAGTTTATTTTCAGACTGACAAAAATAGAGCAGACAGTTTGGTCTTACTGACAGCTTACAGTGCATGGAACCTAAACTGCACACAAACAGAAATGACTGAATTGCATCAGCAAGGCTATTTCTTCCCTACATCCACCACAGATACACACACGCATGCGTGCGCACACACGCACACACATCAAAGCAGCATACATACATCAAGATGATCCTGGAAATTAAGGAGGACATGAAATCAAGGGGCAAATTTCTTGAGTCCCCAAAACTCACTTCAAGGCAGGCAAGACGGAAGGAAGGATGCTGTTAAAGTGAGGGGAGTGCAACTAATGTGAAACAAAGCACGTATAAATTGTTGTATGGACAACTATCCTCTAGAACCTTTTACCCAAATCACAATAAAATTCTCATTAAAATATTTTTTATTTTATTAGTTTTAATGAACATTTACAAGGATTTTGGGTTTTTATTCCTTCATT